GCCAGTCGGCCATTTCAAACCCGATCCAAAACAAAAAATGACGTGCATCAAGGTCCTATTATGTTTAATGTATGTACCAAATTTGAACAAAATCCGTCCATGCATAACTGAGATCCGGGTCCAGAATGGTGAAAAAATGCGATTTTGATGCATTTTCGGCCTTAAAATGGCCGCTATTCGGCTATCGTTAATCGGATAATGAAAAAAATGCATGTGCATATGTCCCATATAATGTGTGATGTATGAGTGAAGTTTGAACTTAATCGATCCATGCATGTTCGAGATACAGGTGATCACGGACGCACGGACACACACAGGGCAAAACATAAGTCCCCGTTTTCGGACTACGTCCGAACAAGGACTAACAAAAGGAGGATAGATTTTGGCACGTAATGCCGAATTTGTGATATATTACCCACTTTTGAACTGATTATTTTACTTATTTTCTCAATATGAGATTTCCATGTCAGGGATGGGTCGGTGGTTACACCCAAATATGTTGTAACCGAAGCACCCATGTACCATCTATATCTATTTTTCCTTCCACATTAATATGGCGTTGGGGTGTTTTCAAAATCATATAATTTGTTTTTTGCACATTAATAAGTTTGTTGGCCTTGCACCATTTCACAACTTTGTTGAAGTCTTCATTTATTATGTCGTGGTCAACATAATATGTTAATTGTTAATCTACTTCCATCAACTTTCCACTTTCTTGTTTGCGCCCACTGTAAAATTCAAATGTGTTGAGTTGATTGAAGCATCAAATTTGACATGAATGTGAAAATGAGATCATAACAAAAACATGTGCGGTTCAAAACAACAGAAAGTAATTTTATTAATTTTTTACACTGTTGAAAATAAAGCGCTTTATAGTGAAAATACATTAATTTTCCACAGCTAATTCCAAGTTTTGTATGCTTAAAAATAGTTGTTTGTTTGAAGTATTACTGCAAGACATAGACTGGAAAAACTTGGTGGCAGTGTATTTGTTATCTCTGTTGTATACCACCAGCCAATCAGGCAGGTATCATATAATGATCACTAAACCTATTTATCTGCTCCTTCAAGCAAGGAACTACAAATTTTACCAACCAAAGATTGAGGTTGAACGAACACATGGGGCAAGTGTTCTTAAGAAGCGTAAATATTGCAAATTTTAAGAAAGATGGCACATTGCAAACTGTCAACTCAAAAGAAGTTTTTGTGTTTGAGATTTGATGACTCCTATACATGAGATTTTTTGTTTGGTGGTAGCCAACAGGACTGGGAACACTGATCTATTTTGTGGTTACTAGTTCAAAATATCTGAAATCAATATGAAATTTCTTGTGTTTTGTTGTTTCCCCCACTGGCTTGGAATAAGCATCAATTTTAATTGGAGGGCATTTAATACTTTAAATTTTCTGTAGAATATTCTATTAAAAATTACCTAGGGCTACTATTTTTTAATCTTGGTAATTACTGCCAAGTTCCAAAAAAATAAGTGTCAAAAGCCGTGACTCACCTGGAACTTGTGACAGTGTTAAAGTTACATAGCCACGAGGTACTGGAACCAGGTCAACATGGGGAATATTCATGAAAATTGATTTTGTTTTTGTTTACATTTAATGACATTTTATTAAACTCGCAACATACTGGTCCAACAGATTTCCTGATACATACCTCTGACGGTAAAGGCTTAATTATTCTTACAAATTTCTTAGGAAACATTCCTTCCTCATCAACGTTACGTCCAATCAACCAATCATCATCAACTTTTTTCACAAGTATAATCACTTCGTCTTGCTGTGAAAAAAAATATACATTCAGCAAAAAAAAATAGTAAATTGTACACAAAACAGTAATTACTGGTATATACCCTTGGGGGCGGAGCTACGTCACAAGACGTTCCACGCATTTCTATGGGCTCTGTGCGTGCTGCTGTCGAGCCGGCAAAAATTCAAGAAAACAACACAAACTCAACTTTGAAGTAATCCTGAACAACCGAATTTATATATGTTACACACGTAGGGCTAATATTGTTAAACTGTTCAAGGGAGTCTCAACAACCATTCCAAAGTACCGTTTTCTGCCAATTTTGGGCTTTTGTTTTCACCGCGATGGTGCCAGGCGGTGAAAATGCCCGGATGTTCGCCCCCAAGGATAGTTAAAGTTTTAGGATCATATGACATAACTTATACTAATTGGATCTTGATAGATTTTGCTACAGATTCATTTTCTGTTTTTTCTGATACAATTCTGATTTTTATTCTGCTCCAGGTACTAAACAATAGTAGGGTGTTTTATAAATTTAAAAACAGAGAGTCTAAAAGGTGTATGAAAAAACAAAAAAACAAGTAGGATGACCAACATCATAATGAGACATGTTTCAAATTGTATGTTAATTGTTGGAAATCATTGAATCCTTTGTATGGGAAAGGACAACTAAATTGTACAACCCATTCAGGGGTGCATCACTAAACTATTATTACTCACATCAAAGGAAAGTTCATCATAGTTTTGTTTACTATAAGAAAACACAGCAATAGCATGGGGCTCAGTAACCTGTGAAAACAAAAGAAATGAAATCTATTAGTGTAATATGATGAGAGAAACTAGTAAAAGCTAGCAATCTGTCAACTCAAAAACACTCATATGGCTAAATCATGCTATTTTGCATAATACACACCGTAGGTCTCACTGTGGTTAATTACAAGACAGAATATCAGTGAATATTTCACTGGGGCCATTGAGATAAGGAGTCACAATGAATAGTAGATGATATTTGGTAACCGTTGTCCTAAGACAGTTTGAGCAATGGCTCTCTATCGATACATTGTAGCATAGAAGAAAATATTACAGTGAACATTTCACTGGGTCCTTAAGACAGAATCTAGAATCCAGATTCTAGAATCCAGAATCCAAAGTAGACAACACAGTTCTGACACTAGTGACAGCCACACATGACATCATGTTAATATAATCAATGTCTATATGTTATGTATGCATATATGTTTTATAAAAATCATTCAATAATAACTCATGCAATGGTTAAGTAGTAGTATAATACTACTGACACGTGATACAAACAACTAAACCATTCAACAATGTATCCACTGGTCCTCAACACTTGTTACCAATCACTGGATAGCAGTGTGAATCTTAAACCTTGTTTATTCAGATCTTACTTACCACATACTTGAACAGTGGATGACCAGGACCAGGTCTTGCTGGTAAAAGTGGTGGTCCAGATTTAGGTTTAGCACCTATAAGGGGAAGATTACAATCGTTAATCAAAGAAAGCTTAGAAAGAACTCCCATGTGCTGAGAGTATTGAAGACACATTAAAAATTAATTCAAAATTACTTGTACTTGAGATATTGATGGAATAGCTGAAAAGTAATTATGTAAATCATGTAACTGATATGAACAGATTTGAGTGTAAAACTAATAAGGCCTGTGTAATCTATGTACCAAGTTTCATTGAAATGTGATTAGAACAAAAAAACTATGAATTATTATTAGAGAATTAATATGAACAAATTTCAACCCAAAATTAATCGGGCCTCTCTATTGTTCTAAAGCATTTATCTACCAAATTTTATTCAAATGTGATGATCAGTAATTGAGATATCAGTGTTAATTAATTATTTTAATTAGGTGATTAATAAGCATAAATATTTACCAAAAACTAATTGGGTCTCTGCTTAGTCCTACGCTCATTGAAATGTGATGATGAATACTCTTTAAAAGTTTCATTAAAATCCAATTAGTGGTTCTTTATATATCACTAATTAATAACTAATTATGCAAATTAGGTAATTAATATGCACAAATATTTACCTCAAAACTAATCAGGTCTCTGCACAGTCCTTAATGTACATTGTAGAGATGCAGGTTTGTGGGCACTTGGGAGTGAATTTTTTTTTTTTGCTTTTTATTATCCAAACAGTCTTGGCTATAGACTGTTAAAATTTTGTAGAATTGTGAATAGTGGAACATACTCAAAAAACAAGTTTAAAATATAGATAACAGGTGCAAACATTCTCTCTTTTGAATGCTTAGCAAGATTTAGCAAGGCTGTACATAAATAACAAAAAAGAAACATGGTAAAAAAAAGAAATGACGGGATCTCCATATTATGCACTATATTTAACTTTTAACAAAACGATAATACATTTAAATTTGGAACGATTTTAATTATGAGTATTAGCAAACTTCTTACTGAGTGAATTGTTATGCAAATTAGCAATTATCTCAGCTTCTTTTTAGTACACATTCCAGAACTTTAAAATAAAATAGCTCCTAGATGATTTGACCTTTTGTTTTGAAATTTTCACAAATGATTGACAATGTGTCTATCTTCAAAACGTTGTCGGGGCATTGTTTTTGGTTGAACAGTGTTACAACAATCGTGCAGACAACTAGCCTGGGTGTTAATTTATGCATAAACTTGAAGTA